AAAAAATAATAGTGAGCAACACATACATACAGTACATGTAGTATGTGTGTTGCTCACTATTATTTTTTATTAGACTTACAAACTTAGTTTCAGTGATGCCATATTGTTCTTTCATTTGGCCGGAATAGCAAGCTGCTTTCGATCTGTACACGTAAGCCATTTAATTTGTATATTACACAAATGTTTCCGTGAACTGACAGTTTTTAGGTTAGAAAGGTGCAAAAGTGCAGAATCACTCCAGCATCCCCTTAATACACCTTTGCGCGCAAATTGGGAACAATAAACAGTAAATACAAATACAAAATTAGTTTTCGTTAAGACCACGGTTAGTGGGAAAAGTGGGAAGCAAGGAAACACGTGACCGAATACTAGAATCTTAACTGAAATTACCTCTACAAGCGAACACTTCTTAGTAAAATAAGAAAAATATATTTTGGGGAAATCTAACAACTCTTTGAGGTTTAACAACGTTACATATTTTTAAACGTGCATATAAGGAAATTATTTGCAATAAGATGAGATTATTTGTAATCAGATGAAATCGTGTAATCGGTGGGACAACATTTTAGCTAGTGGTTACCCTCTTGGTTTGATCAGTTTTGTAACGTAATCTAAAACGAAGCTACAGCACAAGAAATCGCGCGGTGTATCCGAGAACGAATTATTTTAACGAGCACACATTTCGTGTGCACCGTATGCATCACTTTTAGGATCCTTGCGAGGCGACTTTGTAGGAACACTCCGAGCCCCCGGATGCAAAAGAGTTAGTCCCATTACGTACGTCCAAATAGGTCAGTGAGCCATGTGTTTACGTATTCCACAGGCGAGGAGGGTGAATCGACCTCGGAACAGGGTGCTGTCCCGCCGTTCCCCGCCGCGGTGGCAGTGACATCGCGGTCGGCAGGGTCCAGGGGGGCCCATGGCCGGGAATTGTTTTCGCCGGTTCTGGTGGTGGCTCCCGATCGCGATCCTATCCGGGTGCTTTACCCCCGCGGTCGAAGCCGGTCGTATTACGTGCACGTCCACCTATCCCTCGGAGGCAGCGCGGCTCGACGCGGACGTAATAATCTTCCTGGGCGAGAGATGCGACGGGGAGATCAACGTCACCGAGATACAGGATCACCTGGAGCGCTCGCCCGATCTGGCCGGCGAGCTCTCGATCAGCGTGTTACCGCGATCCCGTGAGTACATTACGTGTCGGATCTTAGCCGACGTTACACTATACTTATTCAATAAAGCGCGAGGCGGAAGAGCCGTGCGAGCGAATTGCGAATTTTACACGCGATCGGAGAACCTACGGTCTGGATATTTTATGTAATTGCAGCGTGAGACTCGTGCAACTGGAAAATGTGGTTCAGCCGCGTAAACGTCAAGAATTTACAAGTGGCCAATGATACGTAATGACGCGGTGATTAATTGTGCACGCGGGAGGATACGTGTACGAAAGACGGCGATAAACGCGAAACATACCGCCGCGGCATCGTAATCTCGAATACATTAATTAATTCGAGGGTTATTTCTCTCCCCCCCGGTAATTAATTATATTCGCTGGCGGTACATTCGCTGCATGCCAGCGGTGCAATGTTAAATTTTAACGTAATGTTCGCTCCTCCCCCACCGGGAGTAACGGTATTACGCGTATATCCGCGATATACAGAGCGTAATATAATCATTCGCGCGCTTCCGTTGCGCGTTATCAAGCCGGCCCTAAATTCGCACGCGCATGAATCACGTGACGTCCAATAATCCCATTACCAGAATTCAAATCGAAACCCGGCCGGTCGTGCCGGTCGCTCGCTATAAGCGCCGGGCTGCGCGAGCACCGCAAAGAGTCCATTTCAAAGGGGCAACCACTTTAATGTAATCGTGAAACGGTGTCTCCGAAATCATGAAATCCTTATGAAATCCCCGTGTAATCGTTTTGTCTTCATTTCAAGTTTCATCACTTGTTAGACAAGAAACGTTAAATTTGAACATTTTCTCAACTCGTTTTCATTTTCCAAAAAGTTTACTTCTTTTAGTGAATATCCAAATATATGCCATAGTTCGCACCTATAAGCGCGTATTATTCTTTTCATAACAAGACTGAAGTAGTTGCTGCTGGAGCAACAGTAAGTTGAAACGTTGATACACCTTTGCGCGCAAATTTGGAACAATGAACAGTAGATACAAGTACAAAATTAGCTTCCGTTAAGACCACGGTTAGACTAGTGGGGAAAGTGGGAAGCAAGGAAACACGTGACCGAATACTAGAATCTTAATTGAAATTACCTCCGCAAGCAAATACTATTAGTAAAATAATACAAGTGTTTGGAGGAAATCTAACAGCTCTTTGAGGTTTAACAACATGTGTTTAAACGTGCATATAAAAGAATTGTTTGCAATTAAATGAAATTATTTGTAATCAGATGAAATCGGTGAGGCACTTTAGCTAGTGGTTACCCACTTGGTTCAGCTCTCCAGACAGAGAGACGGAGAGACAGGGGGAGAGAGAGAGAGAGAGAGAGAAAGAGAGGGAGAGAGAGGCGTTCGCCGTTTGCAGACGGTGCGCGTCCTGTGGAAATGGTCGTGGCGAGTTGACGCGCCGTCGACGATGCAACCGGAATATAATGCGATTCGCGTGGCACGAAGTTGATACGCCAAGCTCGAGAATGGCTCAGGCCGGCTCCCCGCCGGAAACCCGATTTTCCCGCGAGAGCGATCGAGAGTTCCGCATTCAGGAAGCGCCGCTAATAGCGTCTCCGCCGTATTGTTTGCGCCGTTGTACCCCCCCCCCCCCGGTACAAACGCACAGACGCATGTACGTATCTCTCTCGAGAGAGAGAGATACGTACGCGCGACTGAATAGAATCGCGTTTCAATGCCAATTCGATCCAAACACGGTTTCGACGTTGCTGAGTGCCGGTTGTAACGACGAGCGAAGTACGAGAGCGCGAAGCGCGGCGACTGTCGCGTTATTATCCCCCGAACGGGGGAGGGTAGCGAGCTCATCGGAATCGATAGTGGTCGACCCATTCCAAATTTTGCGCCATTAAATCGATATACACTTGACCGGCAATGAATCGTTTCGCGAGAGGGGAAATTGTTCCCGCGCTCGTTGATAATTAATTCGGTGGAGAGAGAGAGAGAGAGAAACAAGTGGTGAAACAAGTCACTTCCCCTCTTGCGAAACGATTCATTACCCATGACTGTACGTACGTCACACATTCGCTCGCCACCCTTTAACGTGTCTGTCTCGCTGTGATAACCAAGTCGTCAGGGAGTCGCCGGGGACCACTCCGGCCCCGGTCCCGAGATCTCCTAATCGCCCGGCAGCTAAATGGTCCGATTAATTGATTTGCAGTGACGTGCGAGACGGAAACCGGCGGTCTCGGCGCGCTGATCCACGCTCTCGGCGATAGCAACACGAAGGCGGTGATAGCCGCCCTCGACAGCTCGATCTGCGAGGTCGCCGCCAAACTCGCGCATCTTGGGAATAAACCGCTGCTAACTTGGACTTGCCCGCTGGTGAGTGTTATCGCGTTTACTCGCAGACGATCTTCGTAGTTTGCACAGTTATCGGAGCCGTCGAACGGCAATTAAGGTACACTCCCGCGAGGTATCTCGAGAGGAGCGGCTGGTTTCTGCGAAAATACACTTGATATAAGGCGACGCTTTTACATTGCGGCTATTGCCTCGGAGGAAGAGATGAGGGGAAGATCCAGAATTTTACGTCGCGTCAGAGTAATTAATTAAGTGCCGCGCTCCTCGCGTATGTACGACAGTCGTTGACTCGCATCACTTGCGTCACGTTCGTTCGAAACGTTTCCCATAGACATTTCCGTCGTTACTATTTTATACGAGTCATTAAACTATTTCAAAAATTAATCTACGCGTGACATTTATGATACGCATTGGTGTTTCGCCATTTATTTAGATGAAATCAACGCAAACTTTTTTTAATACTCCGACACGCGTCTCGCGGAGCGTCGACGTCGCACCTTGGTCGAATGTTATTATTGTTAGCAAATAGATACGTCGCGCTCTTCTTTGTGGAATAACAAAAGTGCGCCGAGTCATAAAGATTGCGTCGCCAGACGTGCGGACGAGAAAGGAAATATCAAATACAAAACTCGCGGTATGTTTATTGCCGGGCGCGTTTGTAGCAAACCGTGAAATATGGCGCGACGTTATTTAGCCCGTTGCGTTTTTTTCCCGGCTGGCATAAGTTAAAATGATGAAAATTTGTGTGCTCGTAAATAATTACATACAACCGTAATATCCGGGAGTGAAATTGGAGAGGGCGTAAATTTCGCCTCGGTCTCCGCGCAATTGATTCTACTGGAAGAGCCAATTTTACATAATGCCGACTTGCGAGCAACGTTTCAACCGAATCGGATAAATGATTATTTCCCGTTATTTAGTTTTCTAATTGGCGCACGTCCAATTAGGGGTATTTCCGGCGTAAGCTGCAAACTCGCAGTACGTACTCCGCCGGGCGCCTCGGTGAGGCAACAGTACAGAGCTTCGTCACATTCCCTTTGATTCACCGTGTCGGTAAAGCACAATTCTCTCGAGCGACACAAATCGCCACCCCGCTAAAAAGTTCGTCTTTATCTGCTCATAGATTTTTCACACGTTCCCCGATACGACAGTTGTCATTGTTTCAGCGAATCCGACGGATACACCTTCGGATATTCCCGCTCTTGTCTAAAAGGGAATTGAATTTCACAACGTGCTGTTGTACTTAACTTTTAATCCTTTACCGAAACAGTTTTTAACTAAAAACGGGTGAAAAAATTGTTTCGAAATGGTATTATTGCGCGAACTCGCGCGTACGCTGTAAGGAACATTTTGGATTTTATTTTACTATGACAAACGCAAATAGACCGTATGCATGTGTGTTGTTGCTTTTGGAAAGATATATGCAGATATAAAAATAAATCTCCCGTAAAATTTTTACAAATATTTCCCTGTAAAACAATTTCGTTCGTTCGGGCAGTATCGATTCCGAATAGATTCACGGTAGACCGAAAATAAAACGTCTCGAGTATCGCCTCGTTAAAATTTGAGATCGCGAATATCGATAACTTATGTTCCAGAGAGACTCAGAGGAAAGGGATCTCTCCTCGATCATTAGGCTCTCCCCGTCATTACCGTCAATGGCTAATGCCGTGGCGAAAATATTTCTGCACTTGCAGTGGAAGACCGCGGCCGTTATCAGTATAGGTAAGTCCTTGAGAGCACTCACGGGATTGCTCTAAATAAATTCTGTCGAGTGAACAGCGTTGGTTGATAAAAAAAAATATTATTTCAATTTTTCTTCCAATTTTATGCGTTTTTTTTTTAACCATCCGTACACAATATTTATTTTACTGCCCACATCCACGTCCGATTCAAATGATTTCGAAATTATTTTATCCTTTATCAAATATAGGATTAATAAAAAGTGATTTTTGATAGGTTAGATATAACAAAGATATTGTATATAAATTGTTCAAATGTTCGTAAAAATATAATTTATAAAGATTTATATTTTTGTATCGATTGCATGTATGTGACGCCCAGTAAACGTCAACTGACAGTGACATATTAATGTTATAACTTCCTACGCAACACGTAACTGTTAGAGAAAAGTCCTTTATTATGAGATAGGCTTCTAATCAGTGAGACAGCAGGTTTTCAACGTCCGAATTCAATCACAAATCTTTTTTTTTTGCGACAGTTACACGATCTAACAATCGATTTTCTACTAAACAGAGAGATTTCACTCCAATGACAAATAAATGCATGGTGGAACCATCCAGTTGAAAAATTTGTGTTTTCTTCTTTAAAAAATGCTGGTTCAAATTTTTGTGTTAAATGTTCATGTGTTAATTTAACATATTGCTCCTGTGTTAATTGACCTGAAATGTAAAATTATTAAAATAACTAAAAAGAAATGTTAAAACAACACAATGTGTACTTATTTTTTAATCTGATACGTACAATACACATGTTCTATTTCAGTTGCTACCATTAGTAGCAAAATTTATCTGTTAAAATTTGCGTATGATGATTTTATTCTATATAACATAAGTGAGAGTGATTTCGAACCGTCATTTGACTTATTACATCCGTAAAGTGTAAAAATTACATTTTTCCAAATTCATTTTGTCATTAAAAATATGTTAATTTTAGACAAAATTTGTTTCAAATTATTTTGTGATTTGCATTTATTTTGTGTCAAACTATTAACAGAATATTAGTGTGATTATTTAATATATCCGTATTGTGTTAAATTAATACAAAAATTTGTGTGGACCGTTTTTGGGACATGTGATATCTGTTAAATTCAGCACAAATTTTTCAACTGTGCAGCAAATGACGCCTATTAATTTAGCAGAAACTCCGCCGTCTCATATTAGAAGCATATCTCATAATAGGAGACTCTCCCCTATATAAAACGTATATGAACCACGTGCTACCTGGCATATTAATTGGAATAATGAACAACTTCAACTCTTCCTAATTTGAGGGATAAAGTTTCGTTATTTTGGTTTGAAGAATCCGTAATTTTCGGTTACTTGTAATTTAACGATATTAGGACTTGTCTCATAATAGGGGACTTTCCTCTACGTTCAACGTGAGTTATGTGACACTTGTATTAATGGGTGGAAAATTACAATATTGATATAACGTCACTGTTGCTGTTCACCGACTAAGTTACGTCTAGAGTTCTTGATTCGCCAGTAATCACATCAATCGCCATAACTTGTTGAAAACGCGGCGGTAGTTTCCTTCCCGCTTCTGTCCCGCAGAGTAATGCCATGAAATTTAAATTTAACTTAAATACGTCCTGCATTTCCAACAAAAATATACGTCGCGACAGTTGATTAAAACTGCAGTCCTTATTAATTCACGACTCGGCCTGAGAATTACGTAACGTATTTTGCAAGTTAGCTCCCGTCAAACGATGTGAGAGAGATGCGCGATGCAAAAAAAGCTCGTTTGTACCAACGTGCGCCGCATGAGGAAAATTACGTATGGCCCTCCGCGTCCCTGACGTCACAGCCCAATTTGGCTCGGCACAAGCCCAGGGTTTGGGGATTAAATCGCAAATACGTACAACAATACGCGCGAAAGGATCCGGGATGATAACGACGATAACAACCGGGGACGGGCCGAAACGTGCCGACTGCCCGATTGTCCATTAAAACGCGATGCGACGTGCACGTTGCATTTTAATGCGCATTAAACGGAGGGACACGATTGATGCCGCAGATCGCGAGCCGTGGTCCAGCCTGGATCGCGCTGTAATCAACGCGTTCCGAAGGATCGACGTCGTCCTGCGGTACCATCTGATTCTACCCCATCGCGCCACCCTCGAGCAGATCCGCAGGATTCTGAGGTCCATGCACAGCGTCTCCCGTCGCGGTAAGTAACGCACGATTAATCCCATTACACGGCGAACTCGCGGGCATTACTCGGCACTCACAGCCGGCCAGCTCCGAGGTGTATATGTTGCTCTCTTCCTCCCTCCCTGCCCGAGTAACTATTCGAAACTATCGGATTGAGGATTAAACGGTCGTGAGGCGACGCGCAGGTACGCGCGTCCCTCTCGTCCTTTTGCCCTGAAATCCCTTCGCGAACGAGAACGTTTATGCAGCTCTAACGCCCCGCGACGCAGTTCGATGGCGATGTCACCAACTATTCCAGCTGGTATTCGCAACTTAATCCTTTAATTACGCTCCTTTGTCGACGCGAATTTACATAGGGTGTCTCGGAACCTCCGACTTTAACTCAATTTCACTCGATTTAGATCCGATCTCCTTTCTTCCCTACTACGTTGGGATGCCAAGAGGTTTTCCAGCGATGACCTTTTGGCCAACGGAGCTAGTAAAATTTTATTTTCCGCGAGACGGAGTGGTATCGTCAAACGGCCGGGCATCCATCGTTAAAATAAACACGCAAATTCGGTACATTTCGGTAGAGTAAATTAATCGCTCGGAAATTAATATTGCGTCGAAAACTAACTGGAGTAAAATAAACATAGCGTTGAATATAGATAGGTGCGGGTTATTGCTGTTTACATGCTCTTTGAGAATTGGATCTAAGTGGAAATCTATTTCTGAATCTCTTTACAAATCCTTTATTCGCTTTATACGGCGGATTAAGATGGCACGGCAGGCGCAATTCCCGGCGAGTAGAAGTAACAGACAGGAAGATTGCCCTCGCGGCGCGGCGTGTGTTTATAGACGGTCGTGGAGTTAACAACGTCTTTTTAAATGTTTCCGCCGTGCATAAAAGACGTAGCGAGACTCGCTCGGCTGCCGAGAGCCCGGGGTTCAGCGGCGATAAAACCCACCCTGCGGCCAATCTGCGGGTCTTCCAACTGCAATATGTATGAGAAAAGGGCGAACGCTCCGCGTGCCGTCCGGGAAATTTCGTCGCGATTTTTGGAAATGTCTTTTTATACATCGCCGCCGATAATCGCGCGCTTCAGCATCCCCGCAGAAGCGCGGGAAACTTAGTTAACGACAATTTACGACGCCCGTCGGTGTACTCGAGGATGCAAATGAATCGCCTAATGGCACGACGTGAACTTTCCAGGCGGAGGGCGGGGGGGGCTCAGCGTATATCCCAATATGAGATATGACGTAGTCGAAGCGCGCTCGTTTTAATTAATTTCAGCCTTATGAATGAACGGTTCGCTTCGCGTTTCGCTGAAGTAAGCGCGACCTGCCAGCGAGGAGGGCATAATTACCGCGTCGTTTACGCAAATGTAAAGGACACGAAATCGCGGAATGGCTTTTCCTATGTATAAAAGGGAGCCTCGCCCGCTCAATTATTGCGTCCGAAATCCGTTTTGTCGTCGCAATATACGTTTCAGAGTCACGACTGTATTCTACGGTTGAAAGGGAGCGTCTCTCCGTCCCTCTTTTCTTTTCCTGCAGCTAGTTAATATTAATTAGCCTTACGTAGCGCTTCACCCCCAGCATTTCCTATAATATTTTAATTAAAATCTCCGGCTTTAAAGTACTCCTGAAAGGTTTATAGAGATGTACGGCTATAAATTCAACCTCCGCTCGATTGGCCGTTTCCCTAGCTGTTAGCTGATATATCATTCTCCGTGATTCGCCCTTCTCTTCTCCGTGCCCTTTTTCCGCTCGTCCCTTCGCTCTCCTATCCATCCGTAGTACATTCATGCAGTAAAGAGTATTGCGCGTTTACACCTTGGGGCTGTATGACTTGACGTAAAACTATAATAAAAAGGGATGGATTTTACTATTTACCATGAGAATTTTCTCATTTTTCATATTGATCAAACATATTTGGACTTTTCAAATATTGTTTTTATAGAAAGCTCGCCGGTAAATACATATTTCGAATTTTTATTCAATTTCGCCTCGTCCAATTAGATATATGAATACTGAACGAGCTATTTTTTTCTGATCATAAAACATGTGGCAGCTACTACACTATCAGTTTAACCCCTTAATGTCAGGGGCTAAGCACATAAAACAAACTTATTAATAAAACAAGTTTGTTAACATGGATAAACAGCTGCCATAGATCTCCTTTCTCCTCTCTCCCTTTCTCTCCCTCTCTTGCTCGAATACAATTCCTAAAATAATATTACATATAAAATAATGTCACTCTGAATATATTATATAAAGATCTCCTACACATGCCGATTTATAAAGACCTTACAAAAAGGATATTAAAAAATATAGATATATTTAAATAAATTAATAAAGTTCATAAGGCCCTCGTGTGATAAACATAAATTCACAGGAATAAGGACTAAAGAGCCGTTAATAGGACGTTAAATGTTTAAATAACAGATTTCGTTTATCTTTTTATCTGCGATCAGTGAATCATAAGTCACTTAAAATCCAATAAATAATCACGCAAACAACAAATAATAAATAACTCAATTGGGATCGCAAATCGCCTATCCAGTCGCTCTTTAGCCCGCAATCGCGAGTATTTCATATCGCTCTTAAAACCATCACGCACGCAGATAGTCACGCAAGTCACGTGAACTTGATCCTTGTTGTTTTTTTTTGTTCAGCCACGGTGCTTTGTCTGCCGCTACTCGACGAGATGACGAGCCGCGTCCTGATCGAGCTGAACGTCGCGTGGCAAACGCACATCCAGAATTCCGTCATCCTGATGATCCACACGGAGGATATCGACCTTTTCCTTCCGAGAGACGACACGCCGCCCACGTCACCCCCCACTGATCCATCGACCTTGGCCCACCCCGCGATTACTCAGTCTTCCAATTTTTCTACCTCGAACGTAACTCGCACCGGCCCGCACGCGACCCCGGAGAGAGACGAGAGAGTGCGGAGGGTGCAGCAGACCACGCGAAGATTCGCCCCGCCGAGGAATCTCAGCAGCACCGCGATCGAGAATCTGCTTGTGGTCGCGCCACTCGATCAGAGGTAATCAATTATTAACGACGTTAACCCGGAGACCGCTTTATCGACGTAAGTAGTTGCGGGTTTGAGACACTCTGGACCCGTGGAATAATACAGCTTCTTCATGAAATATAAAATCGGATTCTTACAATTAGACGGAATATAAAATCGACTGACGAAGATATAGGCTACCTAGTTCCAAATATTTTTAATTATAAATTTCATATAAATAACAAAATCTATTCTAATTTCGTGATTAATTGATTTCTTCGAGATCGACGTGGATACGAAGGGTCTTTTACGATATTCGCAGCTCTTCCTCTCAGGCTAAAATCCCTCGTTGCGTTATCCTACAAGTAAACGGTGTACCGTTCGTGATGAATAATATTCTACGCCGTAAATATTTTTTGGAATTTAATATCAAGTATCAGCCAGTGCATCTTAAGTCTCAATTATTAATAATAATCGCGATTAAGTCATCAACAAATGTCGCAGTTGCGCAAGAACGCTGCAACGGATCATGAATAATTCCGCAGTCACGTTGGCAAATTAATTAACGTCCGCGGAATTGCGTAATTAATCACCTGTTCTTCAGAATACTTGTAGCTCATTTTCTTCGTATATACTTGACAAGAAGGGACATAAGTACTAACGTTGCGAGAGAAGATTTATAATGGCAAAAATTCCACGTTACTTAGAAAATCCTTTCAAGATAGACTTTTAAAGACCCCTCGGAATATCAGCGAAATATATCAGTACGCTATAATGCAACAGCCGCGAGCAACAGCTTTCATCTCCTCAGGAATATGTCTTTATAATAATTAAAAATATCCAGCTTTTTAGTAGAAAAAAATAACGTTCGTCGAAGGCCTTTCATTGGCAAATTAACATTAATAGAGAAAGTCCTCTATTATGAGATAGACTCCTAATATGAGATTGTTTGCATTATATTTTTATTGAATAAGTATTAAAAATTTGTCACATTAATATTATTGTCTCTTTTGATTCTTCCGGTAAAATCTTATGCTCGATTGCTTGGACATAACATTTTAATATAAAAAGTAACAAAGTATCCAGTTTGTATAAATATCCATTGTAGATGACGCAATTTGATGACATATCGTTACTTTTGTAGAGACAATAGAAACTATTTTTCGTTTCTAACAAAATATATCCAAATAATTAAATTATATAATTCTTGATTGGCTGGTATTCCTAACTAGGCTCGCATTAATTGTTTAACACAAATCCGACTGCACCCGACGGGGACGTAAATTGTACGCGGAGTCAGTTGGCAATGAGAGGTTGACCTTAATCGAAGTGCTCCCCTTGTTTGACTGAGGCAACAACGAGGCTATACGTAATTACGAAATTCCACCGCCGCGCCGCGCGAACATGACGATCCCGAATTATAATACAAATCGCGCCTGCCGGATCATCGAGCCGAGTTAATTGTAGGCGTCGATCCGTGTAATTCGCCACCGTGATTAACTCACGGGAACGGCCCGCGGCGTCCTCGGCGCGGCGGGGCGTCGCGACGCCGCGTCGCCTCGCCTCCTCGAGACAAGCATCCCGACGGTTTCTTACGCAGGTACGACGTGAGGAAGGTCCTCAACGGCACGCAGGATTACGCAACGCCGGCTTTGCTCGACCGGCTGAACGAATCGCTGACCGTGCTAACGCGCGACAACAGCAGTCTCGACGGCCACAACAACAAGATGTACACGTACGCCCTAATGAACTGGCGTAACGCCGGCTGGAAGCCGATCCTCGCGATGTCCGAGGAGCCTAAGCGGCTGGTGGTCCAGCAGCTGACGCCAAGCGCGGTGGCGTTTCTCAACATCGAGGCGCCCGATCTGCCGTCCTGCGACGTCGACGGCGATTGCCAGAGTGAGTTCTCTTTCCCTTATATGCGTAACGAGAGGGGGAAAACCGCCGAGGACATTGTGGTGTACAGATTTACGGCATTACTGGGCATTACTAGGCATTTTTTGGGCTTTTTTGGGGCATTAGTTTGGGCACTAGGCCTTGCTGAAGCATTATAAATATAAAATGAGATAAAATAAGATAAAACAAGATAAATTAAGATAATAAGATAAAGTGGTGTACAAGATTTTCGTCAGCGGTTTCCCCCTCGATGTGTAATAAATGGAACGCTAAAGGCAGTAACATTTCGAACGGAAAATCGCACTTCGTAGCGATGACGTACAACCAATAGTGCGTGATTAACTCATGAATGGTACATATATCTCGTAGACGGGATTTTAAAAGAGAGAATGTATTCATTTTGTTTATAACGTACGATGCCGACGCTCGTGCGACCGCGTTGCGTTAGCGATCAGAGAAAGGTACTGTCAAAAATAGGACGGGATAATTGTGGAATGGGGGGGAAAGGTGCGAAGAAAGAGGGCCCTCCCTTTGTACCTTTCCGATCGGGATCGATATCGGCAGCTCCCTCGATTCCGAAAATACCGTCCGATAACGTAATAAGGTAATGCAGTGCATTCATTGTTTAACAGATGGCTTGGCCGACATGTCTTTCCGTACCACACATATCGTATCTATTATTCTTGGGTCGCTGCTGTTCACCTTTGTCGCCATCGCCGTCGCGATTATAATCCGGTGAGCGATCACTTTATCACGTTATACATCATACCATTTTTATAGCCCGTAGCCAAACCGTAGAAACTGGCATGCGTCAACGCTCCTGTTGCCCCTAATCGCCAGAAATACTTCTTCTTTACTCCTTTCAATAGAAATTGCGTATATATGTAGAGGAAAGTCCCCTATTATGAGATAAGCTCCTAATATGGGACAGCGGGGGGTTTTTTTTTGCTAAATTAATAGGCACCGTCTGTCGGTTTCATCGTTAATTTATTGCCCCTGGAGTGAAATCCGTTTAGTGGACAATTCATTGCTATGTCGTGTAATCGTTGTGAATAAAGATTTGTGATTAAATTTGGATGTTGAAACTTAGAGCTCCCTAGTACACGTGCACCAGACTGCACGTGTAATCCGTGCATTTAACTTATCCGTGTTTTAACCCGTGTACACGAATTTAAAGAATCTTCGTTTACGTGAATCCGTGAAGACGTGAACGTGACACGTGTTCACGAATATCCGTGAACGTGACGTATGTAAACGTGCAGCCGTGTATACCTCGGTAGGGAAATATTTAGAGTATTATGTGACAAAATCTAGATAAAACTTGGAACGCTGGAATTATGCGTATACATATGTCGAACAACATATGCAGAAATAGAGATCTTTCGTCAAATTTTGATAAATACTTGCACACGTTTGCGCGTATCACACGTACACGAATATTCGAATACACGTGTCACACACACGGCTATACGTGTACACGTGACACGTACACGGGTACACGTGAATGAAGGTACCTTAAATCCGTGTATACGGATTACCTGTACACGTGAATTGTAAAACGCGTATCCAATCGAAAGCCCTAGTTGTGAAACCTGCTGTCTTATATTAGAAGTCTC